GGGGGGGGGGGGGGGGGGGGGGAACTATTTAAGATTAACAGTAATCCAGCTTAGTACACTGGGCAGCAGCAGCTTACCTGACCTGGTTAGATGTAAATGAATGTGGCTAACTCAGTCATCAGTGGCTGGGTTCACACAGCTCCCTTATCTAGTTACTGAAGTCACTTGTTTTCCAGGTTCACACAATACAGTGAACCAGGAAAAACCAAACCAGGCCAATGCAGTCTGCATTATTTACTGCCCTACAAGAATAATAACATGACTAGAAGGTGAACATTAAACCAGCCTAGCACATTCTACAAATGTAGCCACTGGGTCTTTCACCGACTCCGTTAAGCGTATTGTGAGAACACAGCCCAACGCGATAAAACCTTTCCTGTAATTCTATTTAAAAGGGAGGGAGAGGAAGCCCATCGCTCAGGTTTCCTGCCTTTATCAGAGCTTTCTTTTGATAGGTGTGGGTAGAAGTACTGTAGGGAGAGACGTGCATCCATCTTTTCACACATCAATAATGCATGATTTCAAGTCAGTCTTGACTCCTGGCAACTGCCTGGATGAGTCCCTGCGGTCTTCTGGGCAGCCTTTTTAGCCCAGTGAAACAATGGACGGGGGAACCCTTGCAGCTAAAAGTCCTGGAGTTTACACAGAAGTCTGGAAAGTCTTTGAGAGGGGGCCCCTCCGCCTGACCAAACACCCTTTGTCCTCGGGAGATCTACAAAGAGTCACCATCAGTGCTCAGTAGGACATCATCTTTCATCCCTGGGGAAATTGGACTCCCAGAAAAGCCTACGCAACGAAGACCAATCTGTGGAGTCCTTGGTGCTCTCTGAGCTTGGTGGTTTGCTGGAGGATGTTTCATTACCCAACTAGGTAACCTCATCAGTGCAAGGGCGGGTGGCGCTTGCCCCGTTTATATACAGTAGCCGAGTTACCTAGTTGGGTAACGAAACGTCTGCAAGAGAACCACCAAACTCAGAGAGCACCAAGAACTCCACCATTCAACCCTGCAGAGGCTACAGAGATTCTCCTCTATTGGAAGGACCAACCTGGAATCTTCCAGAAGCAGAATATCTCTGAGTCTCCAACCGCGGGGCAAAGAAGAGCGGTTGACCATTTGTGAAAGCATCTTTAGAGGGGGAAACGTCCATCAACGGGAGCTAAGAGAAAGCACCATTTTCCTTCTAGCTGGCGTGTTTCGGAGTGGGTGGCCAGCAAGCAGAGGGAAGATGTGGCCTTTATTTTCACTTATTGTAGCTGCTGGGCATCAGAACAGCTGTTCTTTTCTGTACCTCCAGACAGAAGCCCTTACAGCCCTTACCCCATTCTGCTTTCCCATGAAAAACCAGAGCAGATCCAAGCAGATCCAAGCAGGGATAAGAATGCTTCCCAATTCGGCATCTTTAGTGGCAACTCTGTAGATTGGTTTCCCATACTCTCTGCATCCACGTGGGAGCAGAAGGAACCTCCCTTCAGGTCAAGGGAGTGAGCCTGTGGACTTTCCGATTCGCATTGTAAAATACGGCTTGGCTTACTTACTTGAGTACTCTGCCATTTTGCTTCCCTTCTACCTGATTTGGTGAGCGTACCCACCAGTCTTCCACCACCTGGCCATCCTCCAGATGTGTTGGCATGGGATTTCTCAGAACTCCCCACTGATGCAGTGAAACATTTTGCAGTTCCACCACATCTGGAGGTGGCCAGATTGGAGAAAACCAGTGTGGATGAATTCCTAGAGGAGAGAAGCGATGTGTCTTCAGTACGAGTTGCTGGAAAGCAGCCACAAAGGAGAAGGGAGACTTCTCCATTTGCTAGAGCAGTGTTTTTCAAACTTGACCACTTTTTAAAGTGTGTGTGTCCCACTCCCCCAAATACCACACCCCCCCGCGGGGCTCAGGGGGGGTGAGGCCCACC